AATACCCTCGGTTTCGCGTTTATTATACTCTCAGGGAAAGAGATTCAAGTCCAGCGCCTCGGGTCACGCTCAGGATGAATATTCTACAGAAAAGGAAACACATTTTGGCTTTGAGAACGTGCCGGAAAACAAGAAGGCCGAGAAAGGTATATTGTTAGAGCCAGTGTGCCCGGTAACTTTTGTTTACATAAATTTCTATGTAATATATTTATTTATATATCTATTTATTTTTTTTATTATATATGACTCAATGATATATTGAAGGTCAGGGAGGATTGTTATATGTATTATTTCATGTGCAGGCATAGTACCGGAATTAGAAACATCAATATCATGTTTATTAACCGGCAGCCGGTCAGTGAGTACTTCATAATCTTTGAAGGGTTAGTGACAGTAGAAATTCACTGGATATTATTCTAGATACATAAATACTTAATTCTAGCTAGTTTGGAAACTTTGATAATGGATAGGCAAGTCTGCATTTTGCATTATTTCCTTCAAAAATGACAGTACTGTTCTAAGTGTTCTCAGTAAGGCAGCGATGCTCTACTAATGAACTGCATTTGATAAACTTATTTTTTAGATTTTGTATTGTGTAATCTTCGGTTCAAAACCTGTCTATGATAGTCTGCATATGAAATATATATTACTTATAATATATATTACTTTATTTGCTGTCACAATGTGTGTCTTCTGTAATTCCCTGTTTTTGTATATTATGCAATCATGTCATTGGATATTTTTAAAAGATTAAAATATTCAAGCTCATTATTCTCCAGTAAATTATGACAGATTAAGCTTAATCATGTGTTCATTAAAGCTTGTGAGTATTTTTTTTTTCTGTTTTCTTAGTGACTTTGGAGCTGTATTTATAATTTGCTACATAGATGCTAAAATTACATACAGAATTTAGCTGATAACAAAATTTATAGGAAAATATTTGGTCTATTGAAAGTAACTTATTTTACTCTTGGCCTAAAAGAAAGGTGTTGCAACTGTGCATCACTTTACAACTATACATTTCTTGAAACAAATAGAGATAGTGTTATTGTGATCTCTTTGAATTAAACAACACAGAGTATAGAAGATAAAAGATGAAAAAAATAACTGATATCACTTTCTCTTGTGCCATAATTTATATTGTGTAAGATTATAGGAAATTTATATCTAATCTTTTATCTGACAGGATTTCTCACTATGTCACGTTAAGCCAAGACCTCTAATCCTTTTCAAGCTTCACTCTTACAGTTTTTCATAATACCCAAGATATAAATCTCAATCATAACTTGTTTTCTATCAACAGTACATGAAGTTTTTGAGAATGTGGCAGAGAAATATGACGTGATGAACGACCTGATGTCTGGCGGAATTCATCGAATATGGAAAGACCTATTCATCGCCCGCATAAACCCGAGGCCAAATACCAAACTCTTAGATGTTGCAGGTGGAACGGGTGGGTGGATTATTAACGGGACTCTTGATTTTCTTCACTCTTTCAAATCAGTCTCGGTTTAAGAGTCTTTGTGATTCTAATGGAATTACTTTATACATGTATTGTTGGATATGACTCATTATTTCTTTTAGGTTATTGATATTAATGCTTCTTTGCATCTTCAATCAAGGAGACATTGCCTTCCGCTTTATCAAACACATCGAACAGGCTAAGAGAGGGAGCACAGTTGTACCAAGTGATGTCAGCGAGTCAGACCTTGGAGAGAAGGATAGCCAAAGATTGCCATACGAGGTATGTTCATGTTTGGTACTATACTCTATTATCAGTTATCATTAAAAATGTTTATATTCTTTCCCTTTCTCTTGCTCATTCTTTTTATCCTTTCTCTGTATTTATTCATTATCTCTCACTCTTCCTCTCTCTTCCCCTCTCCTCTCCTCTCTTCTCTCTTCCATCACATTTTTTCTCTCTTTCTCTCTCTGTTTCTCTTTTTCTGCCTGCCTTCCCCTTCAACTCTCTCTTCTCTCTCTCTCTTTTTTTGGTATTTTTCTCTCTCTCTCTATCTTTTTCTCCCTTCCTTCCCCTCTCCCTCATTTTACCCTTCTCTAGAGAAGCTTACTTAGCATCTGACCCAAATTACCCCCAAACCTCTCACCCATCAGGTTGTTGTTTGCGACATAAGTCAGGGGATGCTGGATGTAGGGCAGAAGCGAGCAGCGGCGTTGGGATATTCTGGACTCTCCTGGATCTGCGGAGATGCCCAGAAGCTGCCGTTCCCCGATGATCACTTTGACTGCTACACCATAGCATTCGGAATAAGAAATGTTGTAGACCTGGAAAAGGTGTGTATGTATGAACTCAAGTTTTTTTTTTGTTTTGTTTTGTTTTGTTTTGTCTAAGAAAGACATACAATTTTTCTTCTTTATTTGAAATATTTTTGTTGTTATAAATGTATATTTAGATGGTATTTAATTGCATATTTTAAATATAGATCCTTCTGTTTAGTTTTAGAAGTGATATGTAATGATGGCTAAAAGTTATCTGTAA